TATATCTTCTACATGATAAACAAATCATCTTAACGATATGCGAATGTTAATTTCCGTATATGCATCATAATTTACTCATATCAGCTTTTTTTAAACACTATCATATCGGTTCATAGCTATCACTATATTGTCCTGCTATCACCTAGGCTGATTATTTGAAGATACAGAGAAGATATTTTTGATTTCAACCTGTGATAATACCCACATATACTGCTTAAATTGTAAAGTACCCTGGATATTTTAGTCTACACTATACAGTACTGGTTTTAAACTTTACTATTGGCTAATTTTGCTATATTGTTTTGTTAATATAATTATATATATATATTATATATAATATATATACTGTATTATATTATTTATATATATATAAGTGATTTTACCTAGAGGCAAATTAGCAAAAGTCTAAGAAAAATTTTTCAAAATTTAAATTTTATAACAGTATTTTGTACAAATTTAGTATAGCAAATAAATAGCTATTAATAATTATATGAAATATATAAAAATTTTATACTTATTATTAATGCTTTAAATAGTTTGTCTATTAAACTGTTCTCTGTTTTTACAAATATAATTATCTCATCAACTTTCCTTAAGCAATACAGCCCAAAACCTGATTTGTCTGTACAAAAAACTTTTAATTTAAATTCTAAAAAAGGGTTATTAGCTTAATTAACAATATTATTATTATTATTAAAAAAAAAAATCTAAAAATTACTAGCTATCTGAATACTATAAATTTTCAATACTTTAAAAGCATCAACTTTAAAGAATGGATATTTGTTAAAAATTGTCTTTGTTATCTGTTTATATATGTCCTTGAACATTCAAATTATCTTTTTTCAATCTATAAATATAATATGTATTATCTACAATTAATAATTTAGAGTTTAAAAATATACCTTTGTTGGTCTTGCTACTTTTCTTCTTATAGGAAGAATTTAACACTTCACCAACTATAAACTCAAATTTTTTTTTAAACAATCTTTGTTTATATATCATTATAAAATTAGGTTTTCTTTTGATCTTTCTTCATTTCTATTAAAAAATAAAAAAGAATTTTAATTATATTTACAAGAATCTTAATTTTTTAAATAAAAGTACCTTCAGTATAGAGTCTTTGCCTTTTCTTTTTCATTTGTTTTCTTTGTTATTGTTTTTACATTCAGAAGATGCCCTACTTGACTTTTTAGGCCTGTAAGAAAAAAGAATAAAAAATAAAATTATATTCTGACAGATTAGTCTCAATTTTATAACTTAAAAACATTGCAAACATTTTATATTTAAGGATCATATTTACATTATCAGTAAAATATCCATAATTGATCTCAAAGAAAATTTCAGAGGAATTGAAAGAGCGTCCAGCTGCCACATGTCTTCATTAATGTCACTATTATAGTGTTTATAATTTCTGAGCTTTCGAACCTATTGGCTAAATTATAATTAGAAATATAATTGAATTAGTTAAAAATCTTTTTAATATTTAAAACATTTTTAAATGCTTACAAATGATTTTTAATATCTTTATTTTCGTTATTGCAAAAAAATTGTTCTCCTTTTTTCATAAATTTTTTGTAGTTGCAATCTTTATCATCGGAGATTTCCTCCACTCCTTGTTTAAAAATTTATTTTTAAACCAATCTGGCGGGGCTTCTGTATCCACTACCCCAAACAGATCGGTTCATCAAAGTTTATGTCTCTAAGATCAATTTTATTTAGAATCTTTTTGATTTTCTTATGCATTTCAGTGTTATTGACATTCCACGGAAATAAATTTATATTGTCATCCTAAATAAATAAAAAATGATTTCTTCATTAATTTAAATAATTCTTTATGTTAAATTAAATAATTAAAAATTTAATTATACATTTATTTCATTAATCCATTTTTTATTTTGGTGATGTTCGAGGTTTCTCTGATTTTTGCTTGTCCTAAAGAAAATAAATAGAATAAATAAATTAGCTTGTTAGCGCACTTCGATAAAGAATATAGCCTGAAAGTACAATAAAAACTTAACTGATTCTAAATATTTCTCATTAAACGTTTTAAGATCTATTAAGGAATCTAGAAGACACTGAGATAGGCCATACTGATAAAACTCTGCCATGTTTTTGACAACATACAGGCCGTATATTGTTTGTAATCAGCAAAAGACCATTCTTTGTTGTTTTTCGTTTTAAAATAGTTATATGTTTTTTTATAAAATTTTCTTTGATAAGTTGTGTAATTTTCAAGGAAATTTTCACTCATACTGGTAAAGATTTAGAGATAATGATTCTTTATCGCGTACGTGTCACTTGCGGTTAATAAGTGTAAATAATATTAATATGCCGATACACAGATAATATACATAATAATTTGATTGGCTGTTTTTAAATGGGCAACCATCTTTAAAAATAAAGAAGTAATTATTTTTTATAATAAACTTACAATTTAGACTTTTTCCAAACCACCATTGTTCGTAATTACTGTAAACTTTTTTCAAAAATTGAATACTGGCCCACTTCGTTATTTCGTTATTACGCGTCCGGTATATTTAACATAATTGCATGTTGAACTACAATAAGTCTAATATATCACTTTTGGGATCGAATAACTAAGGTGTTAAACAGGTTAAAAGTCGATGAAATGCTGCAAGTAAGATCCTAATAAAGGCTTAAAATTTTTTTTAATTAGAACTAATTTTCATTATTATTTGAATTTTTGCCTTTAACATCTGTATTTTTTATATGTTAGAACACTGATATCCGTCCATCATGCCATCGGCCAATTGGAATTATCTCAGATAAGAATGTTCTTGCTGTTAATGCTTTTTTCTCTGAAAATTCAAGTCTTTTAGTGATTGTTCTTGAAGTGCATTGTTAATGCCTTTCCTCCTTTTAATTCAAAATCTTTTAAGGATTGTTTTTGATGTGCGTTTATTAATGCCTTTCTCCGAATATTCAAATATTCCTCCTTCTAATTCAAATTCATAATAAAGGTTCAAATGTTTCTGCGTGACGTTTTACAATTGCACCTGATACTTTTCCTCCTTCCGATAAAGAACATTTCTCAGAGCTTCAATATTTTAGTTACTGTTTTTGTAATAATTGTATATATTTAGATTTTGTACTTTCTTTAAAAAAAAAAAAGAAGAAACTGATGCATTCTGGAGAGAAAAAAATTAACACGTTCTGGAAAGAAGAACAAACAATGTCATTGTTTACTTTTATTTATATTAATGGGAAAATTAATTCCGAACAATGGTCTTCGGTGAGCGAAATCTAAAGTAT